GGAAATAACTGACAACTGACATCCATTAAAACATGGCACATGGAACTAGAACAGTCTACCCCAATGAGCGAAATAAAAGGGTTCAGTTTGTCATTCCAACCACCTGAAGAAGGCCGGAGTGTACAATGGCCGAAATGTTGTAATAAATATGGCGACAAAGATGAGGACAATAGTCCAAATAATGTAAATAGTGTATCCAGGTTACTCTAGTATACTGTTTTATAAGGGTTTATAACAAAATGCTGGTGTTCAAAAATTATTTTCCACGTTAAATTTATAAATTGTTAGCATTTGTATATCTAATTGTGCAAAAATAAAATCCTTTAGAAATAAATGGATATTTCTTTAGAATGATACCAAAGTATGCTTAAGAAAAAAAGTAAGATTCTCAGCAGCACTATGGCTAGAGATTAAAATCATAAACTGTGTAATGGCAGATCATAAGAAAAGCTTTCCACATTGGGCATAAGAACTTGGGATTAAAATCATGAACTTTGTGTACCATTCAATTTGTATCATGAAGCTCTATAAGAGTACCAAATTTGAAAAAAAAACTATGTTGGTGATGGTCAGACCCTTGTTGATTTGACATGGAATGACTGAACAGTTTTTTTTTCTCACACTTCCCAACTGTGGAAATCCCTTCTGATTTCTTGCTTCTCTGATAACTACAATCTTCAAACATTTAAATGCAATGACAATTGTCATCTTCTGTCTTCTTAAACCCACTTCCTTTTATTGTCTTTTCCTCAATTCTCCCCATTATCAGTCTCCTCGTTCTCTTTCACTCCCTGCAACCCCTTGCATTCTAATAGCATTACTGCCTTTCCTTGGAGTGAAATGATTAAAAAAAATCTTTTTCCTACAACCTTGCCTATGCATGCACCCTGAAGAACAAGTCCATTCCTGGCACAGATCCATAGTCTTACAAGACTGACAATCTCAGAGAAAGAAAGTATCTCACAAATGATTTTAAGATGTTAGTCTATCTATATATAAAATTCTGTGACTTCTGTTAGTCCAACCTTCTAAAATAACCATACACTGACTGATTGAAGCCAAATTTTGGGAAGAAGTGTGATGTAATGGAAGAACCTGGCACTGAATTAATGATTACACTATAGGTAGTAAGTACCTATAAAGTCATTTGTCTACGAGAGACTGGGACACACTGGAGTGAGAATGAGAGAGAAGACGCAAGCACGTCAGACATTCCAATTAGTAGCACTCGCTACTAGATTGACCTGTGTGTATAACTGTACCATATTTCATATTGTACTTGTTGTGTACAATAAACCTTTCATCTAGTATCCACCTGGGGTTACTTATTTATTCCCTTAGCATGGAATATAACAGTTCCGATGAGGATAGTCGGAACATGACAAAGTGCAAACAGGTAAGTGGGTACAAAGTACAGTTGGTTTTATTAGGGTTCTTAAAACCGTGAAGTAGGGTTTTTGTCAAAGTATTTTTCTAAATAAATTAGCTTATTCAAATTTCATCGATTGGTTTGCAAAAGTGAACAAAACGTACAGTTTATAAATCTCAGCAAAAAATGTTGGTGAGAATTTCAACAATACTAAATACTGTGAGGATTTCAAGACGCTGACGCATGTTGCCAAAAAATTCAAGTACATGAAATGCAAAAGGATAGAAATAAAAAAAAACAAATTTTAACCGTACTCTGACTTTCTTCTCGACATAGCTTTCTAGCAGCGTCTGTGTGCTGACATGATAGTCCAAGGATAGGTGCTTGGAGCCTTTTCTCGAGTCGAGTTTGTCATACATGTCTGAATCATGTGTACTTCGGTAAGGACTCTGAAATAAAAAAGGATAAAAATATATATATTGCTGTGGGCATATGTTGATCATGTTTTAGGTCAGAAAACACATTTCCTGGTATATTTATCCCACATCAAAAAAGGCAGACTCGGAACATGAGTCCTGGTAATAAAATGTAAAGTAAAGTTAACAACAAAACTCTCTCTCTCTATATATATATATATATATATATATATATATATATATATATATATATATATATATATATATATATATATATAGAGAGAGAGACAAATGATAAGTATGTATTAATAAAACAAAGATATGAATAGACAATGGAATATTTTTGCATGTTACAAAACAATAATAATATCAATGAAAAAAACATTTAAACTAGTGAATTGTTTGCGTGCATGAAGTTGTGAAGCAGTTGTCCTAAAGAATAGTAATGGAAAGTAAAGAGGAAGGTGCTTGTGTGTGTGTGTGCATGCATGTGTACCCAGTCGTGGGCTACATACCTCCACATGGCAACCTACATCCTACTGTCCCTGGGTGAAATAGGAAAGAGAGGATGAAAGAGAATGTTACTATCTATTTATAAGCTTAAGGAGCATCTTCTAGTGACAGTTTTTTAGGATGGTAAGTGGGAGTAACTCCACAATACTCCGCCTCCAGATTGGGGGGGGGGGTTATTCTGCCCATATGTCCATAAAGTTTG